CTTTGTGGCGTTGGGCCTGTGACGCGTGAAAAATATAAGAAATGTAACACAAACAGAGGTGATAAACAAAAAATGTTTATCACCGCTGTTTGTGTTGTACTTTTAATCAAGCTACGATGGCCGAAGACCAAGAGTTTATATAATATTTGAAATATTTTGGGTGTAGACGATTCTTGGTAATTACTTGATTATAAGAGCGTTAAGAAACTTCCTTACTGAGCTACAGTGACACAAGATCACCGTAACCGCCATTTTGAAATTTGAACGACAAAGAAGATCCTGGCAATATTAAAATAGATATCAAAATAGTCTGTGTGGTTTCCGCTGTTATCCGCGTGTAATTTGTAGAGTTTAACACCTCTGTTTTTTTGCGAAATGCTAGCTTTTTTCGAGGGTCTGGAAGGGTATTCTCTGGTCCGGTATTTGACCAAAATACGGTGCGGGAATCGCGAAAACGATAAATACCTTGACGGGACCCGGGATTTGACTGCTCCCCAGGAAGCGGGACTCGCGAAAAATAGGGGAAGGGATACGGGATTTTTTTGGCCTGTCTGTCGGGAATTCGGGGAAATCGTCGCGAGCCAAATAAACGTTATAGCGGCCCAAGAGAATCAACCAGCTTTTGTAGAAATTAGACTTTTTAATGTATTTTTCTGGGAAAGACGAACGGGATTCGGGATAGTGATGAAAAAAGTGCGGGATGCGGGAATCTCCTGAAATAGGAGCATGAATGCGGGATCAGGACCCTCCCCCCTTCCAGACCCTCATTGAAACCGCTCAAATTTTATCTGTACGAATTTCGATATGGGAGTTAAGTAGGCAGAGAAAAAAATTGTATTACAGTAAATACAAACAAAACCTTGAAAACAAAAAATAAGAACATATGATGTAAAATGATATATACAAAGTTAACCGCGATCGATGATGAGCCAACAAATGATACAACACTTTATGTCGGAAAATACACAAACATCGGTAGTGAATAGTACAGCCGGAAAATATGTGAGAGAAACATCTGTTGTAAGGCAACAAATGATTCAAGATCTTATACCGGAAAATATACGAAATAAACGTAAACAACAATCAATCACATCTCCCAGCAAAAACATTTAATGCATAAAACAAATGTCTGATACCCGAAAACATTTACAAACCAATATCGGTAATGGGGGAAGAAATAATAAAACATTTCACGCCAGAAAATATTTATAAACCAAATCACGAATTAAGTCGGCTATGAGGTAACAGATACTATAACATTTCATGCTGGAAAATATGTGAACTAAATATCGGCCATGAAGAAACAAATAACAAAACATCTCATGCCGGAAAATATGCGAATTAAACATCGGCCATGAGGAAACAAATAACAAAACATCTCTTGCCGGAAAATTTGCGAATTAAACATCGACCATGAGGAAACAAATAACAAGACATCTCATGCGCACTTAACGTCGGACACGAGGAAACAAATAACAAAACATCCCATGAGGAAAATATGCGAATTAAACATCCTACATGAGGTAACAAATAACAAAACATCTCATGCCGGAAAATATGCGAATCAAACATCGTACATGAGGTAACAAATAACAAAACATCTCATATCGGAAAAATATAAGCAAATAGCCACTGAATATCTGCCAATGACAGGACACCAGCCTTGACTAGGAAACAAATTTTAAAACGTATCGTGCGAGACATACGACGGGTTAGAAGACGAAAAAAGAGAAACGCCTAAAATATAAGAACTATACCCGGGTGATGAGGAAACCAAATAGGACAAAAAACAGGTTATAACAAATAGCAGGTTATAATTCTGGTATTTGCTTAAGATGTCTTTGTATAGAAACCTTACAAAATTAACGCTGGGTGTCAAAGATTGTATCACTGAGATATAAAATGGTTCGTTCAAAATTTGACAGTGAACTAAACTTGACTATGAGCTATTATTGAAAGCTGGATCACTGCATAATGCAATTCGAGAGTTTTCATCATGGGTTATGAACTTGCTAACGGCTCTCAAATTATCTCAAATATGGTAAGCGTACGCGTGATTTTTTTTGGGACGTTTTTTCAATTATAGTTTAGTTTTCTACATTTTTGGAGCGTTTTATTCCACTCGCGCTTGTTGGATGTGAGATGACTATAGCCCTCATGAACTGAGAAGCCCTTTGTCAGGGCAGAGTTGTGTAACGTTTTCGTGTACATTGCTCTTCACAAACTCGGTACGCCGGTTAATTTACCTTTATTAACTTAGGGTCAATGATTAGTTCAGCTCTGGTTTAGTGTTTGAAATGAACAAACTTGAAGAAGAACTAGAAGACCTCTAGCAGGTAGTGACGGGAAGAGGGCTAGTAATGGTTGTGAATAACCATTGCAGGATGTCACTGATAATGTGTTTTGCTATATTAATGGAAAGGAGGGTGAAGGGAAGTTTATGGAATTTTAAAACGAGAAATTCAGATTCACCAAGTCATTTCATTTTGAAAATGAAAATTGCACTACTGGGGCTTAAATTATTTTGATATTAAACTTCAGCATTGTTAAAAAGAGCAAATGCTTAAAGTCCTCAGTCTCATTATTATCATTAATTCAATCTGATAGTCTTGCCGAACAATGCTATTTTGTATGTCTTGATAGTTCATTTTCTAACGCAATCCCAAATTTTAACAGCATACTGTAGTTAACAAGCGTCATCTTTACATGAATTGGTGACAGCGAAATGTTCTAAGTATTTTGATAGTAGAAGTTAATCCAGGGTAATGCTTTACGGCCTGTATAAAATCTATTACTGGGGCAAATTGGAATTTTTTAGTACATAAAGATTTCTTATGATGGTGACGAAAGTCTCAATGAATATTATTTCAAAAATCAAAAATTAGTCTTAATCTCTTAGGTTTTACGTCAGTAAATTATTTAGTTTTTTTTTAAATCAAAAGAAGAATGTTTGCAGTGTTGCGATCGCGATCATCGTTATCCGTACATCAAAGCACCATTTCTTACCAACAATGGTTTTTTTGGAGCGC